GCTGCGGTTTGGGTCGGCCGCTGAGCGGACCATGCACGTCAGCGAGGCGCTGGTCAATCGCCTGGGACTGAGGAGCGAGCTGCAGGGCCACAACGGATGCGTCAACTGCCTCGAATGGAATGCGGATGGAACGTGAGTGATGCATGCTAGTCGTTGTTGTTGCAATTTTTGCCTTTCCACATCGTAGCATATGTTTGTTCATTACCAGCAGGAATGATTGTAAAATGATTGCTTTGGAGCGTCGTGTCGAATTACTTCAGTGGTGTTGCGCTTTTGTAGAAGTAGGCATTTATTTCCTCGTTTTGTGTCTACGCGGTTATGTACGCATGTTCGTGACCCCTATTATCTATCGCAGCCTGCTGGCCTCTGGCTCGGACGACTACCAGGTGTGCCTGTGGCAGCCGCAGAGGGATAAACTGCTGCACACCATACCCACCACTCACAGCGGCAACATATTCTCCGTCAAGGTGAGCAACAACAGCTGCGGGAGCGGGTCCACAACTGCCTGCGGGATGGACTGCTCGCCTCTGCCAGCCAGGCCACGGGTCTGCAACAGTGATCGGGGACGTTTTCATTGTACGGGCCTCATGAGTAAGGAGTTGATGGCGTTGGCCTTCACTGTATGGACGCTCAGCGCCAACCGCCTTACGTCTTGCAGAGCGTCGTCTTTGCGGAGCCTTGGAGGCTAACTAAACCGTGAGGCGTACCGTCTTCCTGAATATAGCTAGTTCGATGATATTTGGCGTCATGTTCCGGTCTTGACTGTAATATATTTTAGTTTATGCTCTGTTCTGTGTTCTTACCATGTCTCGTGTTTAACTTTCTAGCCCGTTGATCCCTGCTCCTGCTGTCCAGTTTATGCCGGAGTCCAATGACGGCGTGGTGGCCACATGCGCGGCCGACTGTCACCTGAAGGTGATCGACGTGCGCTTCAGCGAGGTGACCCACCAGTGCAGCTGCCACCACGGCCGCGTCAAGCGGCTGGCCGTGGCGCCCCACCTGCCCTACCTGGTGTGGTCGGCCGGAGAGGACGGGCTCATCATGTGAGTCGCCAGGCCGCGGACTGGCCGTGACTTACGCGTCTCAGTACTTTGTGATGGTTGGGCTTCTGTTTTGTTCCAAAACATATAAGTCAACGCTTTTTATCGTGATGAATTCAACTACGTATGAAGTAAAGAAGGGATTATTTCGTGACATTTGTTTGGTGGTCATACAGATGCTCAGGTTACTGTTGCTACCGACCGCCGTTACCCATGACACCTGTATTTGTCTGTACGCAGGCAGCTGGACCTGCGCGCCAAACACCGGTGCCGGCCGGGCGGCGGCGGCGGCAGCGTGCTGGTCAACCTGCAGTCGCAGTGCGGCGTCGGCAGCGAGGCCAAGTGCGTCGCCGTGTGCCCGTCGCGGCCCGACCTGCTCGCTGTGGGCGCTAACGACCCGTACGTGCGCGTGTACGACCGGCGGATGGTGCGGCTGGGTGGCCTGCCGGCCGGCGCCGCGAAGCCGGGCTCCTCTGCGGAACAGGATCCCGTCACACCGGACGGGGCCGTGCAGTACTTCTGTCCAGGTCAGACCGAGAACGGGGACACTATTTGTTCTGTTCGCGAACACTGGAGCTTTCGATTATGTAACGTGGGGAGTAGTAGATTTCCGGTTAACCGGTAAAATGCTACATCGCTTTAGAGTTCCGCTAACGCCTGAATTCATTGAGTGAATTCATTGCTAGTTTGTCTCATTTCCGTCTTCATGGAATGCAGATACAGCCACTGTTCTCTCACCTCACGTCCTGACGTGCCGGTTGCTCGGTTTTGCGTCCGCTGACGCCCTGCCGTCGGCTGCCTCCGGCCGCACCACCTGCCCTCCACTGACACCGCCGCCGTGTTCATCTGCAGGTCACCTGTCGCGGCCGGGGTCGGGGACGTCGGAGCGGCGCCGGCGCCGACCGCTGGCCGTCACCTACGTGTCCTACAGCGCCGACGGCCGCCACCTGCTGGCCAACCTGGGCAGTGAGCAGGTGTACCTGTTCGACACCGCCGAGCCGCGCCGCGTGGACGTCCTGAGCGCGGCGCCGCTCCAGCGGCCGCCAGACACGCCCGCCGGTGGGTGACGCTGCTCGAACCGCGGCCAGTCGCCACGGCTTACGGAAAGTGCTAGGTCTAATACGGGCTGCGAGGTAGGTTGGGCGTTTGAGACTCGTTTAACTACTAATTATCGGGCGAAAGTTTTTGAGTGAGTACAGCTACTACTGGGTCGGGCAGACTGCACGGATTGGCCTGGATTTATTGTTACCTCAGTGTATTATTTGTGTTCATTAAAATATTGTGCAATCTCTGGTTAGAGCTGTTTGTAGTTGATAAGTTTTGCAATGAGATATGTTAATAGGTAATCGTCCAGCGAGTAACGCTGCAATCCCCGAGTGAGTCTCAGTCCCCACCTTCCTCGTGACCTGTCTTTCCCTCCTCACCTTCGCCGTGAACTTTCTCCCCCTCTCCCCTGCTCCCTCTCCGCTCTGTAACCGTCCCGTCTCTGCCGGCGCAGAGACGCTGCCAGGTCGGCTGGACCGGCTGCGCCAGGAGGCCAACCTGTGTCACCAGCAGTCGCGCTACTCGGCCGCTATCGAGCTCAACAGTCGTGCCATCCGACTGCGGCCGTCGGTGGCCACATTCTACTCGAACCGCGCGGCCGCTTACCTGAAACGTGCCTGGTGGGTACGAGCTGGGGATCTGCTCACTTTACGACGTCCTACAGGCGTCGTGATAAGTTATTTCATGAATTCACCGAATCTCAGGTGTACGCTGCTGTTTCAAATGAATTCCTAAATGAATTTAGGTTATCCTTTGATCGTAACAAAACATTGTTTTCCTGCAAAGCTGTTTTTTTTTTATTAACCGCCTTGTGCTAGATCTTTATTCGACGTGGTTGTTATCAGGCTATGCTGTACTGCATCGCGCATGCCTGGCGACTGCGGCCACTGACTGACCCCTCTACCCCCTGTAGGGACGGTGACGTGTACGCGGCGGCGCGGGACTGCCAGCGCACGCTGCAGCTGCAGCCGGGACACGTGAAGGCGGCGTTCCGACTCTGCCGGTGTCTGCTGGAGCTGGGCCACCTGAGGTCGGCCACTGAGGCGCTGGCAGCGTTCCGTCGCCACCACACCCACCAGGCCAACAGCCACGCAGTGCTGATGCTGGAGCGAGACCTGAAGGAGGCTCAATTCCACCAGTCCGGCGCCGGTGAGACGGAGGGTTAGAGCGGGCGTGGATCGTGGGGGGCTGTCGCAGGTGGTCCGAGTTGGTTGAAGTTGTTAATCAGCATGGTTATGGTGTGATCCATGAAGAGATTGATTCCGTTTGTCTCACAAATATTGAGACTTAGTAAGAAACTTACCGCTGAGAAGCGACCCCGCGTTTCTGCTTTTTAAGGCCGTTGTTCATGATTAAATCCTGACTAATTACCGCGTTGATCACTCCAATGTTCCTCCCTCGCTGACCGCTACGTCCCGTCCTTCCGCAGCAGACCGTAACGGTGGCCCGCCGGAGCCGCTCATCAAGATGGAAGGTCTGCTGGACTGGTCGCAGGGCACACCTTCTGATCAGGAGCGCTCCTGGCGCCGTTCAGCGGCCGACTTCGAAACCCGCTACTGCGGACACTGCAACACCACCACAGACATCAAGGAGGCCAACTTCTTCGGCAGGTGAGGCGACGTGGCAGGCGCTGGGGTGTCACTGTTACAGTGAGGAGACTAGTAATCAGTGTGGTGTCTTGGAGACGTGCTGTTGTGATGTTCTTACTAAGTATAGCGGCTCACTTCGCGATTCAGTGCGGTCGTCTGCCGTCCACTGCTGTGTGGAATTCAGCCCGTGTACGAGTTTCTGACGCCCGCCCGCGGCGCCGCAGGGACGGCCAGTTCGTACTGGCCGGCTCCGACGACGGCACCTTCTTCATCTGGGAGCGGCACACGGCCTCGATCGTGCGCGTGCTGCGCGGCGACTCGACCATCGTCAACTGCGTGCAGCCGCACCCGCGGCTCTGCCTGCTGGCCAGTAGCGGCATCGACAGCTGCGTGCGCCTCTGGGAGCCGCTGGCCGAGCACGCCGAGCAGGAGCGCGCCGTCACCGACACGGACCGTGCCGCGCTCGACAACCAGCAGCGCATGAACGCCAACCCCATCGACATGATGCTGCTCAGCTTCGGCGCGCGCGTGGCCACCGGCACCGACGACTCGGTCAGCCAGGGCGTGCCGTGCCGGACCAGCTAGGGCGGCGGCCGGCGACGGACGCGGGCGTCTTTCAGGTGGGCCTCTCTCGCTCTCTCTCTCTGTAGTGTTCTGGTCTGGGAAGGGGGGGGGCGGGAGAGTGCGGATGCAGGGTAACCCGGCGCTGGCTGGTGAATGTGTGATCTGTGGGAGGGTGCAATGTTGAACCAAATCAGCCGGGGCCGGCAGGCTGCCCGGCGGTGCAGAGGCCGGTCGGCACGCAGAGCTGCCACTAACCCGCCGCGTGCACTGTCGGTGGGAGGGGAGGGGGAGGGGGCGGTCAGGCTAGGACGGCAGGAGTCCTCGGGGGGGGGGGGGGGGGGTGAGCGGCACAGGTCTGCAGTCGCTCGCCACGGGTGAATCGTGCCCATAAGTATGTACTATCGCGTTGTTTTGTTTGCGGTTCAGATTGTAGATTATCCAAGAAGATGATATAATATATTGCATTGTATCTCATGATAGGTGCTTCGTGTGTATTGGCTGAGCGTTTTCTGGAGGATATGTTATTGTTACGGGTGATTGTGGTAGTAGGACATATAGGTAATTAAGAACGACTGGTTTTCAATCGCATACAGTTGGTGAGCGTGATCGAGCTTCATAAAACTCTTGATCGTTTCACATGTATGTCAGTTCTCTTCATGCCTAACTAAAACTAATTTTAGCATAGAAATGTTTGTACCTGATTCGCCGGTCGAGTTTTCGGTACCGTTGGACCTCGTCCATAAGACTGCTGTGACGACAAGAATAAATTATATCCCTGTATTAATAAAGCCTCTCCATCCGTTTAAGTACATAGCGAACCCCCACACAGCCATAAAATGTAAGAAAACAGCAAAAATCACGAGCCAAAATGTAAACATGCATGTCATACGGAAAACACCAAGAACTTAAGTTGAATCGTACACCTGAAAAAATCAAACAAACGAAAATTCCGTCGATGAGGTAACACTTCGAAGCTGCTGGCGTCAATGAATTGTACATTAAAACTCCGGACGATATGCCAGTTTACGGCTGGCGCCGATCTGGGATCGGCTGTGGCCCAGTCAGAGGTGGTTCTCTGGCCCGACTGGTGCCACAGAGTCCCAACGGCAACGCCAGAGTCTCGTTAAGTGCAAACACAGTCCGGGGTTACCTAAACATTCCCTGGAGGCAGACTATCAGGCATGGCACGGCGTTGGCGGGCTTACACCCAGCGTGTGGCATGCGCAGTGATTCTCCGTTTCTGCTGTCTATTCGAAATCAGCAGCCACTGCAGCTGGGCGTCCCGGCAGCAGCTTCAACTGTCCACTCGAGCACCAGCCCGTAACACACCGCGCAGCTCGAGCACAATAACGAAGGCAATGTCAAATGCGTCCAGGCGACATATCAGATCACTTCTTGAACCCTCCCCCTTCCCCACACTTGTACACACACGCCACTAAGGGGCGACCACTGCACGTGACGGGTCTTGACCGTCACAGTTCCGAGTCTGTTGACCCTGTTAGCACATCAGCATCACTCTGCCTTCTTCTCAGCTGCCTTCATCTGTGCGCGTGCCTTCTGCTCCATCACCTGACTGAGGGCACCATTGGTGCACCACAGCCAGTTGCACTGCGAAGAGCAGCGGGGGTGGTGAATGCAAATGCTTTCGTAAAAACCTGCCCATTTTAGATTCGGGGTTACGAAAGTCGTAAGGTCGTAACTCAAATATAAAAACTGAAGACTCACAAGATTAATGAGCATGACATTGAGTAGGTTTGAGAATTGGAAAAACGTCGCTAACCGATTGAAGGGACTTACCACAATGAGCAGACAGTTAAGTAGAATGGGCATGGAGAACATGATGGATATAAACATCCCCTCGCTGTCAAAGTACTGCTGCTTGGAGAAGGCCCTGAAACGGTGAAGCCCAGACGTGAGATACCGACACAAAGTGATGGCGGTGTTAACCCGCCCATTGCACTGTGCTAGAAAAAAGAGCACCTCACAAACTTCTAAGACAAAAGACAAACTCCCAACTCCTTTTCTCCCCATGTTCGCTCAACTCGTGCCACTGGTTGAGCTCGCATTCAAGAGCGTAATTGGGGTTCCAGGTGCACCAGGGCCCTGTTTCACCGGTGATAGCAGCACGCTACTATCAAATTGCGCGAGCTGACGTTATGTGATGACGTCACACTAATGACCTTTCGTGTAATCTGTGAGCTTTTTCATAGCTACGTTTGGGACAGAGTTGCTGTCTCGTTGAATGCGTTTGATTCAGGGGCGCCGACGCGTAAGGAAAACTGGTCCGACTTTTTCTCGGGGGGCCCCCACCGGTGGGGGCCCCCAGGTGTCGAACGGCTTTCCAACGTACAATGGCCCCGCGGTCTCTAGCAGGGCCCCCCGAGCCGCAGTAGGGCCCCCGCGGTCTGCAGCAGGGGCCCCCGCGAGCCACAGCAGGGCACCGCCTAGTCGAAAAAGTGGTCCGACTAGTCGGAAAAGTCGGACCGGTGTCGACGCCCCTGGTTTGATTCATTCGCACGGCCGTGAAGATGTTAGCAGCAATATTAGTTGACATATCACACAAACTGACGACGGCATGGTTTGTTGATGTTTCCATGGAAACCCAATTTGACACGTGTGATAGCAGCGTGCTGCTATCACCGGTGAAACAGGGCCCAGAACCCGTCACTGACCTTTGATACCAAGATTACTTTACTACTCTTTGATACGGCGCCTCGAAAAGTTCCAAACCATCTCAATTCTCACACGGTTAGTCCATGGGTCTGTTCCAGTCGCACTTCCTAACACCTCTAAGCTGCTCCAAGAGCAAGATAGAGGAGGTTGGAGCAAGGCGCTGCGCTCCTTGGCTTTGAAGGGGCTAGAGCTGCCACTGGAACAGGGAAGCAATCTTGGAGGAGTTTAGAGGTGTTAAAAAGTGTGACTGGAACAGACCCCATGATGCCCGCCGAGGTACCCCAACAGCCCCAGCCTCGTTACGATCGAGTACCTATTAGTCAATTCCTGATCACGAAAACCATGTAGCGCATGAAATTAATGATAACAAGGCTGATCTATTTTCCATTCACGTTCTCACGGTGACTATAAATACACGTTCTGTCCTGATCAGTGTCGTTTCTGCCCTGACCGGTGTTGGACATTGAGTTGCCCGGATCCCTGCCGACAATTTTTTTTTAATTCCTAAAAAAACACAATATCACCGATCCACCCTTCTGGTAGTCGAGTATTCCAATTCGAGTACCCTAGTCAACGATCCTGGCACAACATATTTTATGTCTCCTGCTCCTTCGCACTCAAAATAATTATCTTTCTTCCTTCAAATTATGAAATTCATGCTTGTTCTACCTACACAGGCAGGGAACAGGACGCAATGCATGGTGTGTCAAAAGTGGAAATAGCCGCCCGGCTTTTAGTTCGCCAGCCTTCTCAATAGATGGCAGTACCACAACATGGGCAACGGATTGTGCAATTGACGTCAAATTTTCGTTATCTGCTAAGAATTGAATGGCGGATCTTTTCATGCAACAATCAAGTAAATCGGTCCACAACTTTTCTAGCAACAGAGATATGAAGTCACAACACCCTGCCAGAGCGGCGGCGCGGCGGCCGTTACGCGCCGCCTGGGAGACTGGCGGCGCTGAACGGTTCCGACTTGGCACTGCACTAAAACCTGTTAACTGCTTGGAATAGTTATTATAGCAAAATTTTCATTCAAGTGAGGGATAACCAAGGGCAGGAAGTATGTGTGCTTGTGTGCGTACTGTGTAAGCCAAGAAACTGCATTAGCAGATACTCGCTAATATTAGATCCAGCCAAGTCCAAACGCATTCCAGGGGATGTGTTCCTGATGGGTCAACAATATTTATCGTTCGAGGGCGGATACAGTTTTAACAATACAAAAAATATTTTTGCACAGCTCTATTCCTTGAATAATTCTCTTCAACGCCTCATTCCTAGTTAAGCGAATTAGCCCACCCTGGTTGAATAAATAAGGCGATTTCGCCACAAGGTCGAGGAAAACCGACCGAAAACGGCCGCGCTCAGGGCATGCAGACTCTTAAAAACTCGTATTGGGCGGGTAGGGTTTCCCAGGTATTGGCTCCAAAACACCGTATTCGGCTCCCGAATACGTCCAAGTGACCCGCCTCGTTCCTAGTTAAGCTCTAATTAGATCAAATGACTCAAATGAAATCAAATGATCAAATGAAATGAAAGGAGCGAAAAAGCGACAAAAAGCATGAATTTCCCTATGGCGGCGGGCTGCCGGGTTGCCAGACGGCGCACCCGGCTATTTCCACTTTTGACACACCATGGCAGGTATATTCAATGAATTGGTAGTTGGTGGTGGGGGAGGGACTGGTGAGAGTCCTACAGTGTACATCATGAGCATTTCTGAATTGCTTTGAATTGCTTGGATATGAATAATGAAGCAGCAATACATTATTTTTAGTGATCTGCATTGGAACCAGGGCCACTGTTGTTCTAGTATTTTGTCTTTATATTCTTAATAAGTTTTTTTTTTAAAACAAGAACTGCTGATAAAATGATTTATCTATTACTCAGGAGGAGCAAGCGCAATGCTCTTCAGTGGCTAGCCTTCATGCCCAGTGCTTTGTTGCTCACATTCATTCACATTATAGGTACAGCCCATATGCTACCTACTGAGAGCTAGCTTACCTCCAATGTGTTGCTGCCAGGGTGTTGATGTCTTCTGAGAAATATACCAAAGATACTGAAAGGAAAAGCAAGGCAAAGTGAGTTCAAATAAGTAGCCCATAAAACACCTATGAGTTTTTAAGATGCATGGTAAAGTGCAGCTGATGAACAGCTGCACAGCATGCCCTAGTTTGAGTTGTCTCTGACTGATCCTACCAACTGATAACTGCACATTTTTATGACTAGAAATATACTTACACAAGGTGAGGAAGAGACCACATTGCACATGCAGCTTCCTCCTTGCAATCAAAGCCACCAGGAACATCAGTATGTGCCAACTTAAAAGGCCCATAATCCATGGTTCTGACCAGTCAACCTGCGATCGGACATTGACGTACATCACTCAAGGGCAAAAATAGTGGAGCCATTAAATACCAACACATTCAATGATGATAATGTCAGAACCCTTATTGTCAATTTGTTTTTGCTAAAATAAAACTGAAACATTAAACAAACTCTGATATCATAACATGCATTCTGATTCATAACAAAATGAAATAAACATTTCTTTACAGTGTAGCTCAGTTAAATGCATAAAATAATGATCAAAAAATAATCTATTACACAAAATGGGTTGATTCTTATGTTTCTGTACATGCGTTCGGTCGTTGCGCTTCAAATACAAGCATCGTTTTCGACTTACCTCTGATAAAAAGCCAAGGAAACTAAAGCCAATTTCTTCATCCTCAACGATGCCTCCTTTTTCCGATGAAGCCATTTTTGATTTTGTTGAGTTTTGCAGATCTTTTAAAAGTGACGATTCAGAATATGAATAACTTGTTGGAAAGAATATGGTCTCTTTTGCAATATTTTATTATTAATTCTAAGCAAGTTGGCAAGTTTACCTCTGAAGCGGATTTGTTTACAACTCGCATTTGTCTAAACAGCGCCGAAAAAGAGGCAGTAGTTGCAGAGCGAAATAAATCACCGCAACGAAATAATAATTGCCGCCATTTACATCTAAATCAAGTGGGCCTCGACCGTCGATTTTTATATTGGATCACGATTGTTATTTGGGCCGTTAGCTTGGTGCAGTTTTAGTTAAACGCATACCTTATATGAAATTTGGTTTATATTAGGTCAAAAATTAAACACTAAGCACTGCAGATTAGACTTAGCACTTTAGCAGAATTAAACACTTTGCAGATAACACAACACTTAGCAGCAGATATTAGACGCTAGGTACACTCGGGGGCAGATTGATGTTCCACCACTCCCTACCCATCGGGCTCCCATGGCTCCCGCACTGGCTGCTGTCAGTGGCAGGACTGGCAGCACTGGCATTGGCAGGCAGTGCTGAGCAGTGCTGAGGGCAGGCAACACTGGCAGCAGCCACTGCTGATAAATGGGAGCCCGATGGGTAGGGAGTGGTGGAACATCAATCTGCCCCCGAGTGTACCAAAACTATGCTAGGCATTAACCAACCATCCGAGAAGTTCAGAGGGGATGGTTGCGTCACTACTTGCTAGCATGCAACATGCACTTTGCGGGTAAATATATGCCGAATATACGCTAAACTTATTTGGCGTTGGTCTTACGAGCTACTTGGCTGAACTTTTTTGTTCTATTGGATACAGTCAAAATATGTCAGGATTCAAATTCGTAAGCTGTTTAGCATTTCAAAAGATTCCTGGACTACCTTTGTGTAACCTTGGGTGACTTCCTATCGTAATTTTAGATAAGTGTCTTTAAACAAGTGACGAACGTAACACATGTAGAAAATTTGCAGCACAATAGTCAATATATTGCCACATTAGATAACCACCGAGTGCAAAAGCACAATCTATGACGGCACATCAGAACCGATCAACGGGCGAAACCAAATCATGAAGCCCTTAAGCTCCAGCAACAGGCACCACATCAGTTCGCTTCATTCCGCGCCACAAACAAGGAGAACCGCATATCGTATTATTACACTGGAAAGCGCTTGATCACAGCGCACAAACCTTTCAAACACCACTCAGTTGTAGAAAGAGACACACCTAAAACGCAATCTCCTTCCAAGATGTCCAATGTTAATGGGATCAGCTAGCCTTTGGCGCGTTGTAGGCCATGGTTTTCTGATTGTGGGGGTTCTGTGGTGACTTTGTCCACTCTTTGTGCATCATGTGTTTCAGCTGCGAGAGACGCATGCCCGGGTTCTCCTGTTTGAGCCTGGGTAGCGCCTCCTCCTCGAAGGCCTTGTAGGCGGCCTTCATGCGGCGCTCCGGGTGCCGGTCGCCGTCGTCACCGCCGCCCACACTGCGGCGGGGCGGGCAGTTGCGTCAGTCATGGTGACGGGCACAACACAACGACACAAGAAGCTAGAGAAAAAAATTCACGGCCGCCCACACTGCGGCGGGACGGGGGCTATATTGACAGTCACAGTGACTGGAAAACATAGGCGATAAGAAAGAAAGAAGGAAAGAACATGTAGCAGTCAGTTACGAAAGCAAGAGTAACGCAGACAGAGTACGACCCCAAGGGGGAGGCGAACACCACACAATTGGACGGGGAATCAGAACATCTCACGGACACGGTCTGTCGGCGAAACGGACATGACAACAAAACGTTCAGACAGTGAGGAGGACATCACAAGGCAATGCAATAACATAACCAGTGAGCAGGTAACACTAAATCAATAATACACTGTAGACCGATAGACCGATACAGTATAGGTCAATAGACCACTGTTGACGCTGTTCAGTTGGCCGGGTCCGACCATACGGCCATACGGATTTCGGTCCGGCCGTTTGACCCACCTGAGCACGGCGATGGCCTCCTCCACGGTGCGCGCCTCCTCCCCGTCCACTTCCAGCCGGTTCACGTTCTCCTCCAGGGCGACGGGCGCCTCCAACTGGCCCTTGGCCGGTGTGGCGGCGGCGGCGGCAGCGGCGGCGCGTGCGGCCGCCGCTCGCCGCTCGGCCTCCGCCTGCACCTGGCTGCGCGTGACCTTGGGTGCTGGCCGCTTGGAGGCCGTCTGCTTCTCCAGGGTGGCCTCCTCCTCCCGCAGTAGAGCAGCAGCCTCCTGCTTCTTCTGCTGCTGCTCGTGCCGCTTACGCTCGGCCTCCTCCTGCAGCAGCAAGCAGTCAGTAGCATCAGGCTTTAGCAGAACTCAGATGTTTAAGGATGTTTACACCAGACCAGTTATCCTGATTGTAAGAGCTTGATGTCAGGGCAAAACAACAGGGTCTTCTGCAGGCCACATGATGAGGTAACCTCATCCTGTGGTCTGCAGAAGGCCCTATTCTTCTTGTAACCTCATTGAGGCTACATTGAAGAGTGGGCATTGGAGGGACTATATATTTTTTTTTTAGCAAAGGAATAGCTGATAACATAGGTCAGCAAATAAGCAGAAATGATGTGCCATGGCATCTGAATAGCATTAGAATGGAAAACAACATTTTTTAGACTGGCTAGATGTAAGTGCAAGGCAGAAAGGGTAGCCAGAGGACACAATAACTGACACTTGCATACCTTTTTGTTCTGCTTTTTCACAACGTGCTTGGCATCATCTTTCCAGTATTCATCTTCAGCTTTCTTTTGCTTCTTCTCTTCCGCTTCTGCTTTGGAAGAAGCCTTCCTTGCCCTGGCAGCAACAGCCTTGGAATTCTCACCAGCAAACTTTTTTGGCATGGTCTGTGTTTAATCAGCTGCAACCTGCAACACACAAGCATGTTCAGTTTTTAATTCAATGCCATGTTCAAAATATAGTGTAGATAAAATGTGTTTTCATCGAGTATAATAATTATTTTTATTAATAAAATTATGGTGTTTTGTTCAGTATTGTAAGACATGTTTATAAAGTCTGATGGCCAAGAGGCATCAAAGTCATATGGCCAAGATGGCCAAGAGGCATAAAGTCTGATGGCCAATTTACGGTGGAAAATGAAATGAACGGTGAACTTCCTTTTCTGGACACATTCATAATCAGAGAGGGTCGAAACTTGAAATACAAGGTATACCGGAAGCCATCGTGCAAAGAGGACTACATACACTATTTTTCTGGACACAACGAGAGGTACAAGAGGGGCATTGTAATAGGATTTTTCCTGCGCGCTTACCGAGTGTGCAGCCCGGAATATCTCGAGGACGAGCTGGAGCACATTTTTGAAAGATTTCAGCAGCTCAAATATCCAAGAGGGTTTCTCATTTCTCAGAAGAAAAAGGCCCAGAAGATTCGTGAACGAAACACTAATGAAAGAGAAAACGCAAGAATAGAAAAATCGAGTAGATTGCTCTGCATTCCCAATTTTGAAAAGGTGGATACGGTAGCACGACAGCTTGAACAGGCCGGATTCAAGACGGTGATAAGTGCGGGACACAAAAGTGGCGATATTTTAAAAGGTGCACGCGACGAAGATAAGGATCACGAAAGTAGCATAGTCTATCAGATACCGTGCGCTGTTTGCGAAAAACAATATGTAGGCGAGACAGGTAGGGGCCTAGGTACCCGTGTCGGGGAACACAGAAGAGACGTGAGGGGGCACGTGTTAAGTAATGCGATAGTGGTTCATGTGGATGAGGCCGGGCACTTACCAAGGTGGGAAGGGGCTGAAATTTTAGAGAAAGGTATGAACAAAAATATCAGGAGGGCACTAGAGGCTGCACACATCAAGACCAAGAACACACTTAACACAAGAGGGGGATTTTATTCGATGGCAGCAGCGACAGCCAGATTATCCTTGCTGAAACGGAGCACGCTTGTGAGGAACGAACGTGATCGAATGTAAAAACACCGAAATGTCATTACCATGTGTACCTAATTTCTTAATGCTGATGTTATTTTTAAAATGTGATTTGTGACTTCAGGAAATATTTTATATCAATTACTGACGATGGCACAGTGTTGTCGAAACGTCTGAACTGAAATACAAAAAGATTTAGATTTTAATTATAATTTTCGTTCGCAACTCTTGGCCATCAGATTTTATGGTGTTTTAATTGCCAGTTGGGCAAAGCTGGCAAAGCAAAGCAAAGCAAAGCAAAGGTTACTACAAACCTAAGCAAAGCAAAGGTTACTACAAAGGTCCTGAAACCTACTGTCCCAATCTGATAGGGCAACAGGATAATACAAGACAATTAGGATGCCAAGCAGTGGCGGTGGAAGGTAATTTTGGATGGGGGTGTAAAGTTTTCTCAAGGGGCCCCTCTGGAAATTTTGGCCCCTGCCCTTCATTTTTTGAGTGATTATTATTGATTTATGAAAAACGAAGATTTTGGAAAACTATCCCCATACACACAAGTTCTATAAAAGGTTTGAAATTACAGTGAACCTACCTATCTCAAATAATGAAAGCATTAAGAAGCAAATGAAGCTAGCTTTTTATCGGCTAATCTTTTAACCTAGCCACCACCCGCAGCGTCTCAAACCACTTTTCTGGATCCGCAGTGGACCATTGAGGGCCCTACGAGACCATTCCAAGAAGACCGTGTTTAGAAGCCCCTTGGAAACCGACCACATAGAGACTCCTTCCAGAGACCTACATGACTCTCCAGACTGAATGAGCCCTCCGATCAGGGCTCTTGAAAGGTGCTGAAAGGTTTCAGAAGGCAGTATAGGCTCGAAAGTCCTTTGAGGGCTCTCAGAAACCGGCATCGGACCCCAAAAAAGCCTGTATGAAGGCCCTCCAAAGCCGGGATGGAGGCCACAGGAGCCGATGTTTAGCCTAATGTGCCGGTAGGGAGGACTAAATAGAGGGATGGGGTCTCAGTGGGGCCTTCAGGGGCAAGCGTTTGAGCCCAACCCAAAAGTATGTGAGGGGTCTTCAAGGCAGGTAGAACCCTGGGGTATGCACGGGGTCCCAGGAGCTCGCGTGTGAGCCCAAATTTTCGGCTGACGGCTACTAGAACCAGCATGGGGAATGGGGATTCTTAGAAGCCGCTTACACCCACATTTCATGGGTCATGAGTCCCAAGAGTCGATGTAGCCTAGGGGCCATAAAAGCCGGTGCAGGGCCCATGGCCCCATACGTTCCGGCATTGAGACTCTCAGAGGCCGGCAACTGGGCACCAAGAGCAGATAAAGTGCCTCAACAAGCTGCATGGGGCCTGAGAATCAGTGTGGAAGTCCAGGAGCCTGCGTGAGCTCTCGGAGACCTTCGTATTTCGTAAGGTCCACAATGGTCGTTGGGTCCTCTGAATCTGAACTCTGCGGGGCCCTCAGAGGCCAGCATGTCTCCTGGCACCTGCCTGCGTTGAGTTGAGACCCTCCGAGGCCGTCGTAAGGTTCTTCAGAGTCCAGCGTTGGCCCTTGAAGCCTTCGTTAGGCCCTAGACGCCGTCAAGAGGGCCCCCAGAGGTCAGCATGGCCCCTGGAGCCTGCCTGCGTCGAGGCCCTCCGAGGCCGTCGTGGGGCCCTCAGACGCCAGCGTGGGCATTAGGAGGTTGCGTTAGAGACCATCGTGAGGGCCCAGAGGTCGTCGTCAGGGCCCTCAGCCCCTCAGGGACCGTCCTGGGGTCCTCAGAAGTTGTTGTGATGGCCCTTGTGATGGCTTGTGATGGCCTTCGAGAGGATCATCAGAGGTCGTCATGAGGGTCCTTGGCCATAGTGAGGGTCTTCATGGGCTCTCAGATACCTTTGCAGGGCTCTCAGAGGCCTTGGTAAGACCGCTAGAAGCCATCGTTAGGGGCGTTAGGGCCCTGGTCGTCTGAAGCCAAATGGGTCCTCAGACTTGAGTTGGGTCTAGGGCCTTCACGAGGGCCCTCAGAGACCATCGTAGAGGCCCTCAGAGGCCAGCGGAGCCCCTGGAGTCCTGTGGGACCCTCAGCGGTCATGAGGGCCCTTAGTGGTCGTTATAGGGGCCCAGGGGATAGAGGTCGTCGTGGGAACCCAGAGATCATCGTAAGGGCCCTCAGAGGCCGTCATAGGGGCCCGCAGAGGCCAGCGTGGCCCCTGGAGTCTCCTTGGGGCCCTGGAGTCTCTGTGGGACCCTCAGCGGTCGTCATGAGGGCCCTTAGTGGCCGTTGTAGGGCCCCAGGGCCCAGGGGACATAGGTTGTCGTGGGAGCCCTCAGAGATGGTCATAAAAGGGCCCTCTGAGGCCGTTGTGGGGGCCCTCAGATGCCACATGGAGCACCAAACGCGGCTCGGGACACTTCTAGCCAGTGTGGGGCCCCAAAGACTAGCTATGGGGCGCTCCTGACCATAATTAGACATCCCGGATGATTCTACATCAGTGTTCGTTTCCTGATCACCGGCTTTCAGGAGAAAATGTATTGGATGGTGCAACAGGCCCCTTGTACGGATTTTGGGGAAACAAAAAGATATTTTGCAACCCAATGTTTTTTGATGGGGGTGGAGCTGCACCCCCTGCACCCCCTATTCCGCCACCACCGATGCCAAGATGAAGTGTTCTTTTCACATGTTTGGGGTTCCCTTGGTCTGAGACTGGCCAAATATACAGGAATAGAAAGTAAGTCACCCACATAAAAAAGAAAGAGCTTGCCCACCTACGTGAACCTGTCTGAATGGAAATGTGAGTCCAAGTGTCAGACATAAGGGTAGCATAATCTTTAGGAGAGCAAGAATTTGTTTTTAAAAACTTAGCTCAAATGTTTGAATGGACAGATTGACAGGGCCTGGGCCCATGCTAAGTAGAGCTTGTTGCGTAGACCCCCACCCCCTACCGTCTAATCGCGCAATTCCGGGTAACGGGAAAATTTTGACGCCAAAGTTAAACGTTCAAAGGCGGACACGGCCTGTTCCACTCAACTGACTTCAACTGGCTGCGGCTGCTCCCACCAACCGCAGACCATCCCCGTCAGGAGTCTCAAATATCGAGCGTCGGAGCGACTCGAACCCAGGCTCTCACCACCGGGATGGCCGGTGCTCTACCAACTGAGAGATATGATGAGATGCTGAGATGAGAGATGCTGATTAGAAATAAGCAGCATTATTACAAAAAACCTGTGCTCATAAAAACCGAGAAAGGGGATCGATGATTGAGAACAAAACCAAAACTTAGGTACGTACTTCCAAATAGCGACCAATATGAATAGCTACAAATTGGAATGCTTGCCACTTGCCAGTCGGAGTCTGAGTCACCTGGACGTTACGTCTCTTTCACTTAAGTTGTAATAGGTCGAAAGCCAAAGGATCAATTATGCTACACCAGTGTTGCGAATTCCAGAGTGAAAATCACCTTAGAAACACAGCATAAATAGAAACATCCACGTATAGAACTCGCAGATTATAACGTCTGTTGCATAACAAGGCGCACTAATAAAATAAGTCAAAAGTCACCAAAAGTTTTAGCTCGGTGATGACGTCAAAAGACCGAATTTTATTGAAATTTTAATACGAAAACAATCGTGACTACTTGAATTGAAAAATACAAAGTTTGGACAGAAAAGACATTGTTTGTGCATGTGATATGTGATGCATTTGAGCCAATTTTAATTGATATAAGGTATGCTCACAGCTCACTTCAAATGCAAAAAAAATAATGTTGCGCCGTTTCTTATAGGTATCTTGGTTGCGCCTGTTGTTGCGGTTTATATAGCCTTGGTTGCGCCCATTCCCAAGATTCTTACAGATAGTTGCGCCTAAATTGCTTTTTGTCAATGAAAAAATACACTGTTTTATTTTTCTCCCTTTTCATAAGAAAACTGTTGAATGTTGCCAAAAAGCCAAAAAGTGTTGTGACGCAAATTACGTGTGACCATGTGTGACGCAAATAAGTTCTTCTGACGTCATAGTTCCTTATTCTTGTAAACGGAATAATGCGTCGCATAATCTGCGCCATATCTGTCCTTGTTCTTATGCTGCGATGTGCATATCAGTCCCACGCACAAGGGGGAAAAGCTCAAATTATTGAGCGCTCAAAATATTGAGCGTGTGACGTCAGAGGCTCCCATAGGCGTAATGCTGAGGGCTAAAAAAATTGAGCCGTTTCAGGAACACGTTTTGCAAAAGCAACTCGCAACACCTAGGGAGAAATGGCAACACCCTAGGAGAATCACTAATGATGCAAAACAGATTAGGCTTTCATATTTTTCACTGCTCAAGCTTCAATGATTGGGGGAACACCAATTTCTAGGTCGAAATCTTACGGCATACCAGGATGCCTTAAAAACAGGCCAATATTTATGTCGAAATAAAAGTTATTTTTCGTCCATTCACCTTTTTTACTAGGGTTCTGTTGGAAAGAGCAATTTTCATACTACCCAAAATGATTGCGACTCAATTTCACATCACCCATATCGGAGAATATTTTTCATTTGGCGGCGCCGTTTGTTTATTTCGTCGCGACGTCTTCGGTCGCGTGGTTGTCGTCGTCCTTGTGCTGAAGGTAAGTTTTTAACGTTTTAGTTATACTTAGATGTTAAAAGGTACACTGAAAAGTTTGAATATGCTGTGATTTTAAATTTGGAAACACGTAAAGGTCAATCAATTCACGTTTTCCTCGATTTGCGTGCAGATAAGTAACTGTCGACGAAAGTGGCGCCATCCGATATGATGTTTTGAGGGAAAGAGACACAACATATTTACGTGAATTTTTTTGTTTTTAGTGGTCTAAGTGCTTCAAAGAGGCTGTGAATGTTTTCTTCACACAATTTTTCATTAGGTATGATGAAGTAAAAGGTAGTTTCAGTCTTAACTTTCATATAATTGACATTAAAACATATGATAGTCCACTGCTATCAGTGATTGAGTACCTTGATATTTGGCATTTCTTATTAATTTGAATGTATTCTCTATTCATATGTCCTGATAGTAAGTGACAATACTCTGCCAATATGTTTCCATTGTTTTCACATTCATTTTCCAGTCCTTTACATAACATCACAATTTATAATCAACAAAACTCAACTCCTTCGTTACTTCACAACACTGACAGCATGACAGACTGACAGTCAACTATTGTGTGTGTGAATGCTGAAACAGGATAGCCACTTTGCTGACTGGCTCATTTGAAATAAGATAAAAATGATCCTTTATATCATTTCCATCTGGAGGATCGGAGTCAACGGAAAAGGAAGGCCACTTTCAAGCCTCAAGGTCTAGGCTGCCAGACGCCAGTTGGCAGTCACCACCAAATTTATAATAGATTAATTCATTATTATACTTTGAGACCCTTAGGTCACTGGATCGGCATCACATTTTCAGTTTCAATATAGTAAAGGTTTTTACTTGTATGATGTGAAATATTTTCCTGAATCAGAATTTAATTATCCCTAGGTACCTGGTAGAGGTTTCGGATTTATTGCTCATTGTTGGTGTGCAGTCAGGATTTTTTGACAGGTCCAGATAGGGAATCCTGAGCAATTTTATAGTAAAGTGGTCTCCTTATAATCACCACACATTTTATCAAAAGCATTTGTAGAATTCATTCAAGGAAGAATTTTATCAATGTTGCACCCATTTCTTAGACGACCTAGGCTGCATCTTTTTTTAGTTCCTGTTGTATGACATATTTTCCATTTTGTTCCACTGCATAAAGAAAAAAAAATCGTTTGAGATCACCAAACAGCTTTTCTTTTTCTGGCAGGTCTGCACAACCAAGCGTTCGCTGGCGAGGACGTCGGCCGTCCCTGTGGGTAAGGTCATCTGCTCAGCCTTTGTGGAGATCAGCAAGACGTCACCAAGATGAAGACTTCGCTGGAGCAGAAGCCGCTGACCCGTGTCCGATCGGGCAGGTCATGCTCGACGGCACGAGCCACAACTTGAACGACTCGGTGACATCAACAACATGGTGGAGCAGGTGAATGAGTCTGGCGATGTGTTGTGCAACTGCAAGAAGGGTTGTCTGCGTGTTCTGGCCGGCGGAGCGGCGACGCTGCGCAGTCTGTGCTGGTGGTGAGCAGCTGGCCGTGGTGACCGCGCGCGCCCACATGCGCCGACAACCTGTGCGGCTTCGACGGCCCCGGGACAGCCCGATGCCGCCCACTATGCGACGCCGACCGCGCACTGTCCGCACGGCCACATGGAGGTGTGCCCGCGCCTTTTGCCCGCACGCCGCTACCTCGCAGCTGGTCTGCAACCACGCCGTCGCCGCCTGTAGCCCGATAACAAAACGGCTGTCTGATAATGCCGCGTGTTTTTTGTGATGTTGCTACTGTGATGGTTGCTACTGCTGGTCTGAGACTCGATGTTTCCATTCGTCTTTTACATGTTAAGGATTTGATAATGATAAGCTTAGTCCGAGCTTAGGTCGTTTATATCATTTGTTATATGGCATATTTTGGATCAAAGCAGTACGACACTGCCTCCTGCTTTTGTGATGTATGCTGGCAAGACGCAGGTTCCGGTCTCAGGTCACCCGGTTCCAATGTGGTTGGGCTGGCATGCGATAATGTGATGTTGTTTTGCTCGTCTCTGTGTTCCACACTTGATGATGTTTGTGAATCTAACCCACATTGTATAGTATTTTTGTTTGTTTGCGGCGATGGCCTTGTAAGTTGTAACCGTGGCAATACAGTTTTTCCTGTATAATTCTCCAATATTCAAGCGTGGGTGGATATCTTTCTGTAATCACGTATTCCCTTCTCCCAGTACAGTCAGAAAATATCAATACAGTATTCATACGGATTATGCAAGCCCTGTATAATTATTTGAGGTGTGCCGAATCCGAAAGGCGACCGATAAAACTACTAGCGGAAAATGTGACATGATGCCATGGGTTTGTGAAAAGTTTAGGTACCACGTAGCATTCAACTTCCTGCATTTCTGTTTCAACTCAGTTTAACGTATTTCAACGAACATAACATAAAAAATGGCAGCCAGTACCGGCTTCACCTGTCACGGAGAAGGCTCAATAAATTGAGTGTAGATGCTGGCCGGCACTCAATTTTTTGAGCGCCAGCTGACTGTCGTCTGTCGTGGCGCTCAATTTATTGAGTATCGCGGTCCCGAACGACAAGTGGCGCTCAAAAAGTTGAGCGTCTTTAGGGCATTTTCTTTCCAAAAACACCGATATTAATTATCACGGCGAGTGTTCGAGAAGAAACCTTGTTGCTCTCTCTTGCCATTGATACCTTATTTGGATACGATATTTGCCGTAGTGTGACGCTAGAGGCATTGTAAAATACCCTCGTTTCGCCTATTCCTTCATAATGGGGCCCGCTCAATTTTTTGAGCGCTCAATTTTTTGAGCTTTTCCCCCTTGTGCGTGGGACTGATATGCATTTTACACCGCAAATTTGTGTAAAACTCGTACCCCGCTTTGGGTGTAAACAGTTGATAATACACGCATATGTCGGGTGTATGGTGTATTTTTTTTTGCTTCTAATGTGTTGTCATTTGTGTGATGTTCCTTTTGCATAGGATGTTGTAACTTCTTCTGAACGTTCTGAAATCTGAACCTTGGTGCAGGTGAGATTTTATTGATGCATGATTGGGCCAAACATTCAGTCTTGGAAACTACCTACGTCTTGCAGAAGTTACACAAAGCATGATGACAAGGACTTGAACTTCATGTTAAGTCCTACCTACCTCATAATATAATTATACATCTAGGGTGAGGATGGTTGTTTCAGTTGGACTTAACAGGTTAAAGCGGCCCTTATTCCTGCTTCCGCCAATAATTGTAATAGTCTAATTGGATGTTTTCCTACCAACAGTAAGGGCGGAACACCTTCAATTAAGGGGGGGGGGGGGGCACTGCTGACTTTTGATCCCATTCTTTCCATGCAACACCCATAGGGCTAATGTTAAAATGCCAAAATCAAATTGGGGCACGGTGCCCCAGTGCCCTCCCTGTTACGCCGCCTATGCCTACCAAATTAGCAAGTCTACATTTTCAGACATTTTCTTTGATCAGTTGTAGGCTGATAACTCAAACTGTTCTGTAGACCCTGAACTGTAGACCCTGTTTCATGTTTGTCTAAGGATTCACTTTATTATCACCTATGTTAAGTAGGTACTGATAGGTATTTCATGTGTAAATTCAACAAGTATCTGGAACTATTTACGTTTAAGTCTGATAGACTGTCCATGAGACTGGTGGCATAGGACAGAGGCTAGTTAGAGCGATGATGCCTATCAAACAATGCCTTGATGATCAGCAACTAGGCAAGATTGTGAGTCATTGTTATATCATAATGTTTTAGTACTGTCACCTGCAAAAGGGCTCTTAAATTTAATGGTGGTAATCGTTTGAGGTCTTTTTTGCATGGTTTTGATTTGAAAGTTTTTAATTTGCACTTATTGCCTTTTAGCTCCTTTGAGTCAAATAAAATACAAATTTTGCACTTAACTCTTTCAATTTTACATTTTTGCCAATTGTTATATTTTTGTCACATGTAACATTGTGTAGGTATGCATGATAAGATACCTGTGTGCAGCATCCATGTAATTGACTGAAACCAAGTTGTTGTTTGTTTTCAGGTCATTTGCTGGGACCAAATATTGCTGCTTTGAACAGCTGTTTTGAACAGACATCAGACACTCAACTAAGTGGAGTGGAAGAGCAATCAAGAACTTCAGGCAATGTGTCAAACTGTTTGGGTGCTTACTGGTGTATGAGAATGTCAGTGACATCAATCACTGCTGGTGGCTCTAGTGACTGTGACATGTTGCAAAGTAACTGTGAAGGGCTAGCCTATAACACAGTGTTGTGATCTATCATCTAAGTGATAAGTGACGTCGGTGCCTTGGTGTGTGGGCTCACACCCGCCCAGATATTCACCGGACGGCAATCAAGATCGTCGAAATGTCGTCAAATAAAGTCAGGGTGGCCGTTCGCGTGCGGCCATTCAGCAAAAGAGGTAAGGCGGGTGAGAATGTGCCAGTGTGCTTTTGGAACGTCCTTCGTTAAATAGCTTTTGTTTCCTCCATTTATATTTCATTGTTTTTGTCGCCTCAAATAGGTGTCAGTTTATCCATGCAATCCTTTGCGATAATTTTTCTTCCTGAAGTTTTTTTTTTGTGAGGCATTCCATCAACAGTTGTTTTTATATGGCTTGAAGTTGTTTCAATCCTGCCGGCCCGGTCCCGTGACGCCGTGCCCTCCGTCTTCCTTCTCCGTTCGTGCCCCGCTCAACTGAATCCCGTGTCACCCCCGCCGCTGTATCTGTGCTGTCGGCGGCTGCATCGGCACAATTTATCGCTGTGCGTCGCTGTCGCGGCTAAAGCAGACCGAGAAGTGACGGCCCGGCGCGGGAAGACCAGCGGGGAGCTGTAAATCCGTGCCGCCCGTCGGGGGGGGGGGGGGGGGGCACGGTCGATAGGTCAAGACGCGCGATCTGACGCTTGTATACATGCAAATGAAGCCACGTCAAAAGGCACGGCGTTATTGTCCAGTGTGCCGAGAACTATGTCATCAATGGAGCTGACTCGGAAAATTGCCCGACGCTATGAACTCGCTGATCGTAAATGGTCGTGATGCATCAGGCGCCTTTTGTGTAGATTGCGATCGACACGCCAAATGTGGTATGATGAACTTTTAATGTGAACCGAGCACCCTTCGATGAGGGTGTGTCTGTGATTGTGTGAGGTTTTTAGTCTAGATTGATGCAAGATGATACACTTGAAGTTTGCTCGAGATTCACGTAAAGCCCATTCGTGTACTAGGAAGACCCGTAAGCTTTCACTGATCACTAATCACTGCCTATCTAGTCGGATGTGTCGTGGGAAGGGAAGCTGCATGAAAATTGCTATCCACGGTGCTGCTTAGGTTGCGCTAAAAGCTTACATATTTGTTACTTGGCTTTATTAGTTTTCACTCGTAACTGTGAACGATTCAGGCATTTCTGAAAAACCGCTGCAGATGTCTAAGGAGGCTTCTTTGCTAATCGATTGAGTCTGAACAGCTCAGCTAACTCTGGAGCCGGCTTTAGGTCCCATTCAAGCAGCGCAGTGCTCCGCTGGCCGGCGCGGCGCCCGGAGCGCTACGACTGAGCCGTCGGATTTCCGGCCGGCCGGCGAACTCGCCCAGTGGTTATGATTGCCGCCGGCCGCACTCTCTCCCCCGTCTGTGAATGATGTGCGTGCGCCGCTCTCTACTGTCCGGGGAGAGGAGGGGAGCGGTGTCGGAGCGGGGAGGCAGTTAGGCAGATGGCGGCCCCGAGGAGGGAGCCGGGCCGGCCGCAGACGGCGCGGCGCCCGCCGGCACGCGCCGCGAACGAAATGCGGCCGGCCGTGCGCGGCCGAGGGTCGCATGAATTATTGTCTCGCTGTGTCGGTAACTATTGATCCCGGTACAGACTACAGCCACTTCAGATTTAATGCGCCACTGGTCACGTGTGATATGGGCCCAGTCTTTTGCCACGATATTGATGCGCCGGCTTTGTAAATGACCTAACACGAGGCTCGCTAGGATATAGATTTAATCATATTTAGGTGCGGTCATTACACAACACTTGGAGGTGATGTGCGTTTTTCCCGTTTTCAGAAATGGATCTCGATACTCAGAACGTGGTCGAAATGGCGGACAACCAAACGATCCTGCACAGCCCCGCGAGTACGGTGGACAAACCTCAGCAGTGAGTACCGCATGCGGCCGCCGGACGGCTTAGAGTGCTGTTGGGCGCCGAGCAGCGGGTCTTTTACGACAGTGTCTTCGTCTTATTAGGTTTTGTTTTGTCTTGGGCCACTTCACCCAGACATTAAGTTTGTGCAAGTCTTGTAACATTTTGAAGTTTGTCAGGACTTTCCATCATGCCATTAAAGCTATGCCAAAGACCACCAGACTTGTACAATGAATGTGGATTATCGTTAAAGCTCGGTGGCCGTTGGGATTTCCTAAGGTAATAAGACGTCCTTGGTATGATGCTTTGCTTTTCAGGTCTTATGAGGACACCGTGTTTGCGGAAAATCTAGGGGGGGGGGGATATGCAACAAATTAATTATCAGGATTTTTATGAATTCTGAATATCGTTAAGATCGTATGTTAAGATCGTATAGACAAAAAAAAAAGAGATAAATTTACGACTGCCAACACCGAAAGTACCTATGCAGACTCATGTTTGTCAAGTCGAATAGAAGCTCTACTCGTATCTTTTTATTTAGATACTGATGAGACAGACATGTATAAAAGCATTTCGCATTGGTCTCCTATTCGCCGGCCATATGCCCTAATTAAGTAGGCAATAAAACTTTCATTATAGAGACGAGGATGCTGAAGATATTTGATGAAGATAATTTAGATAATAGCGTCGGCGAAATTTGTGAGCCAGTAACGCGGTCCAGCTTCGGATGTCCTGGGATCCGGTTTCAAATTACCGCGATTATGTCTGCTCGGTTTTGTTTCGCTGTCAAATGGGACACAATAGTGGAAACAGTGAGCTGTCGGGACGGTAGAGTATATGCGCATAACTCGAGTTACATATATGCAAGTCGCCTAGGATAGGACAATTCAGCAGCCAGTCAACGTAGAGGGCCAGAGGCGCTACTGATTTCACATAAGCGTGATCTCTGCTCTCGATGCCTGCTGCTGGGAACGTCATACATCGATACCGTGATCTTCCATGTTTCATCGAGACCTTGCGCGACTACACCTGGCCAATCAATGTGACCTCGCCCACGGGCGGCGGCGCCGGGTGTGTGCTGACCCAGTGGGACAGGCGTCTGCTGGGCCGGGCCGGCAACACCGGCCGCCGGCGAGGACGGGGTGGTAGGTGGCGTGCTGCACCGCTCGATGTCTGGGCGGGGCGGGGCGGGGCGGCCGAAGGTGCTGAGGGCCGGCCCCGGATTGAGCCGTCCGCCGGCCGCCCATCCGGTGCCGGCGGCGGCGGCGGTTTGGACCGACCGTTCCCGGAGCGGCCGACGGGAACGGCGGCGGTACGGCTCGCCGCCCCGACCTTGCCACAAACCCGCCCGAGCCGAGCGCGCTGGGGCTGCCCAGCGATGACGCGCTGACGAGGCTCGGAGCTAGCATCAAACCGTTACAATAACGCTGTTATTAATCTGTCCAAACTGACTCGTGGCTGGTTAGGTTAGCCGGTAAAGGTATCCGCCGTCTCCCGATCGCTGGTCCGGCGTTGCGTGACTGAACAGGAATCGCCGACAGTCGAATTGGCTGCGTCGCGTGCAGGTTGATTTTACGAGCGCTGCCGCCCGCTGGCCGGCCGGTCCGTCCTACCCGATAGCGTCGTCCGTGGGACTCGACATACCGGCGCGGCCTGCGCTCTATGTCCTGTGTCCTGTGTCGCCGCCGATAAGATAAGATGAAGGTGCCCGCGCTGCGCAGACCCGCCGGCTGCTTCCGATCGCGCGCGCTAATCTCGTCGGGAGGCTCCTGGCAGATATGGGTGGAGTCGCCACTGCAGACGCACTGAAACTCCGCCATTCATGCAGCGGAAACCGCCCCCAGGCTCAGATCGGGAGGAGTGAGTCTGAGCTCCCTCCGGCGGTCCAAGGTCAGGCGGCGCAGTTGGCAGCTCGTCTCCGCCTTTCCTCAGTCGCCGTGGGTCTGCAGCGTGATGTCATGACACACTGGAGTGTCGTGACCCTCCGCCGGCCACCCCAAATGGCGTCTGGGGACCGGCAGCGCATAGCAAACACCCTCTGCGCGCTGCGGCTCCCTCCGGGCGCCCCCGCTTCTCTCCCACCCGGGCTACCTGGCCGTATACGGCGGACTGGTGGCCGGTGCTGACTCACAGACGACGCTGCCTCGTATCCCCGTGTGCATCATCGGCGCCCGTGATTTACGGACCGGCTGGAAAGGCTCCGCGGGGATTTTACAAAGGCGCCCGTGTCCCCTTTGTCCGGCCGGCGGTAGAGTGACGCTGCCGGGCCGCAGGCCGACGATAAGTTGGATTCATGGGTAACGGCCGACTCCGAGCCTGAAAAACGGCGGCACGCCGAGGGAAACCCAAAGAAACCAAATATTTGAAACCGTGGCTGCCGATATGGCTAACGCCTAACGGGACACTCAGTGAGCAGATTATCACTGATGACATGCCATTCAATTTGAAGTCTTGCAAATGCCATGTTCGATTTAATCCATTCAATTTGAAGTCTTGCAAATGCCAAGTGGGCAATTCCACGACAAATCACCTAATTTTTTCCAATTGTTCACCATGACCTCTCCGATTTTGCTCAAATTTGGCATGTAAGTTGACCTATGGGCACTACTTCGTCCCAGTAAATTTTTAGTCTCTAGGTCACAGGGGTCATGAGATATGGGTCATGCAAATTTTTAGGTTTTCCGGAACATTGAAATATAAAGTATTTTTTATCTCTGCAACGGTTCACCGGATCAAAAAAAGTTATATATGAGATAAGAAGCGCAAAGGCTGGTGCGTCTAGCAAAAATGTGAACGAAACCCCAGGGTCATTTTTTGACCCTTTGACCTCGTGACCTTTTCTTGACCCCGTGACCTTTCAAATTTGTTCTATTTTAAAAATTCTGATTTTTCTATCAGAGATGTCTTATCCATCTCTTAATAGTGGTATGTGATTTGGTTGGTATATCGGACCCATTGACCTCAAACTGAGGTCAACAATGTGGTCATGACCTGACATTAAAATGACATCTGCCGAGAACGTCGAGAATCATAGGCAATATGGGTGTCATATGAAAGCTTACTTCACGGAGAATACATTGGTGGTGTTTTTGAGTAGGTATGGGCCGGGTCAAGGTCACATTAGGTCAGTGACCTAACACAGCATTGTGTTCTTTGAAGGTGGCGTATTTTATTTGTTTGGCAAGCCCAGTGATCAGCACACAATAAAAAGGAAACAAAACGTCATAAAACACCGTCTGTCTTTATTCAAAAAGCACAGATAAAATGCATTCACCCATATACACACACTCGCACAAACACACACACATACATACACCTTGTTCGAGGAAGATCTTTCAAACAAACCTCAGTAACACACGCGGTGTGAAGAACGAGTCTCAGAAGACTAGGAGAGCTTGAAGGCTGCTATGGTGTGGGAGTCGAGCTGTACACTCGGGGGCAGATTGATGTTCTACAACTCTTTATCCACCGGGTTCCTATGACTTAGCATTGGCAGCAGCCGCCTGGTACCGGTAGACTGTGCCGCTTCACTTACTTGTCAAGCGGCACAGCCTACCCACCCGTATGACACCCGTCTGGGTCGGTGGCTGGAAGGTGATGTGGGCCGCCTGTGACGTCAGCGCAGCGGTGAGGGCCGAGCCCGGAGGCATGGCTCGGGTCGGCGCGGCGCGGCGGCTGGCGAGGGCTGGGGAGTGAGGTGGGGTGGGAGCACGGACATCGCGCGACTGAGCGAGTGTAGTTAATTAACTTTCGCATCTCAAGGCGCCAATTATTCTACCGAACAATTGTGCTAAAGCAGTTGTTAAAATGTCCTATCCCCAAGACAGCGCCTATCATCATACTTGCAATGCACATTACGACACACTTCAGCGTGGCAATGGGACAGCCGATAGAACTTATGTCACTCGTGCATCGAGGTGCGGAGCTATATTGTGTATAACATATTAGTATTAAGGCCTTGATTGAGCAGATTGGTGTCTATTGTTTCGCACGGCAATCGTCCAGAGACGTGGGAACTGGGGGTTATGAGTAGTGCCGCAGCCAACGCCCCAATTTAAAGCGATTATTACTGTTGCTCTAATATGTGGTCGCAGCCCCCAATAGCAAACCGTTCCAACTAGGAGCCAAAAAGTCGGCCGCTCAGGGGGGTTCGAACCGGGCTTCTCCCACCGGCCAATTCACGACACGAGCGTTCATCCACTGAGCTACCGAGAATAGTCCTCGTCTGCACCAAACAAAATGAGATTCACCCGCTGACCGCCAATGACAGCATTGTGACATTTGATCGCGTTTGACCGCGGCGGGTGGTCGCTGGTTTCGGCAGCTCAGTGGATACACGCTAGCGTCGTAGGGTGACCGGTTGGAGAAACCCGGTTCGAGCCGTCCCAGGTGCGCGACTTATTTGTTCCTAGATGGAACGGTTTGCTATTGGTGGCTGTGACCACACATTAGAGGGACAGTAGGTAAGAGTTGCTTAAAGTTGGGACGCCGCGCTATCCAAAAACCCCAGTTCCCACGTCTCTGGACGATTGCTGTGCGAAATAATAGACACCGATGAGCTCAATCAAGGCCTTAATAGTTATCTGTTAAAAACAATGTAGCTCCGCAACTCGATGCACGTGTGATATAAATTCTATCGGCTGTCCCAATGCCACGTTGAAGTGTGTCGTAATGTGCATTGCAAGTATGAAGATAGGCGCTGTCTTGGGGATAGGACATTTTAACAACTGTTAGCACAATTGTTAGGTAGAATAATTGGCGCCTTGAGATGCGAAAGTTAACTGCACTCGCTCAGCCGCGCGATGTCCGTGCTCCCACCCCACCTCACTCCCCAGCCCTCGCCAGCCGCCGCGCCGCGCCGACCCGAGTCATGCCTCCGGGCTCGGCCCTCACCGCTGCGCTGACGTCACAGGCGGCCCACATCGCCTTCCAGCCACCGACCCAGACCGGTGGCATACGGTGTGGGTAGGCTGTGCCGCTTGACAAGTAAGTGAAGCGGCACAGTCTACCGGTACCAGGCGGCTGCTGCCAATGCTGAGCCATAGGAACCCGGTGGATAAAGAGTTGTAGAACATCAATCTGCCCCCGAGTGTACAAAGCGGTGAAACGTCCTGGTGTACCTACTACCTACCCTTCACCGTGCGGGCACTTGTGAACCGTTCTCTTTCATTTTCGTCTTCGTTCCTGCTATTTGCGTTGCCGAAACGAAGAAGAAATGCATTTTATCGGTAAGGTGGTCCTCACAGTATTACCAATACCATCGCATGCGCTTTTGCCATGCGAGGTGGCCAAAAATCCACTCACATTGAACACCGAAATCCTCGGCATGATGACATATATTTGCAAAATTGTATTTGTTCTTGTACTGGGACGCTGCTCCGTCAGAGAAGTAGTGTATCTTTTGGTCTTGGGCATTCATTTCAAATGTGGGGAATAACCACTGCCTGAAATGCCGCTTCAGCTCCCGCGTCAGCTCCCGCAACGCAAATAGCAGAAACGAAGACAAAAATGAAAGAACGCTTCACAAGTGCCCGCATGGTGAAGGGTACCAGGACGTTTCACCGCTTTGTACTGCTCGACTCCAATACCATAGCAGCCTTCAAGCTGTCCGAGTCTTCTGAGACTCGTTCTTCACAGCGCATGTGTCACTGGGGTTTGTTTGAAAGAACTTCCTCGAACAAGGTGTATGAATGTGTGTGTTTTTGCGAGTGTGTTTATATGGGTATGTGTGCATTTTATCTCTGCTTTTTGAATAAAAAAGACGTTTTATGACGTTTTGTTTCCTTTTTATTGTATGCTAATCACTGGACTTACCAAACAAATAAAATACGCCACCTTCAAAGAACACAATGCTGTGTTAGGTCACTGACCTAATGTGACCTTGACCCGGCCCATACCTACTCAAAAACACCACCAATGTATTCTCCGTGAAGTTAGCTTTCATATGACACCCATATTGCCTATGATTCATGACGTTCTCGGCAGATGTCATTTTCATGTCAGGTCATGACCACATTGTTGACCTCAGTTTGAGGTCAACAGGTCCGATATACCAACCAAATCACATACCACTATTAAGAGCATGAAATTTGAAAGGTCACGGGGTCAAGAAAAGGTCACAAGGTCACAAGGTCAAAAAATGACCCTGAGGTTTCGTTCACATTTTTGCTAGACGCACCGGCCTGTGCGCTTATTATTTCATATATAACTTTTTTTGATACGGTGAACCGCTGCAGAGATAAAAAATACTTTATATTTCAATATTCCGGGAAACCTTAAAATTTGCATGATCCATATCTCATGACCCCTGTGACCTAGAGACTAAAAATTCACTGGGACGTAGTAGCGCCCATAGGTCAACTTGCATGCCAAATTTGAGCGAAATCGGAGAGGTCATGGTGAACATGCCTAGGTGATCTGTCATGGAATTGCCCATGTTCGATTTAATCATTTGAAGAACGTTCTTTACTCGGCTCAGTTTTTGAAAGTCCAAATGGATGATTCATTCAGCTCATTTAGCATGGTGTCGAGGCACCAATTGCGCTATTGGGTTGTGCTATAGCTTGTGGGTATTTTCATGTGTTCCTGGATTGTTTGAATTACTTGTATCGAAGTTCGAGCACCACATTGTTTTTATTTTATTTTTTACCGGCCACCATATATGGAAGTGACCGTCGCCTGCCATGTAACACAGGCCACATCGACATTGCCATTTGCGTGCCGTTTAGGCCGACATGTCCTATGACGGAGTTGTTCCCTTCGTGCGGTGATGCCCTTGTTATGTATCTTTGACACGCCGCTTTCTACCTTATGTAGCTTTTTCGCCAGTAGCCTGGAGCCTCATTCTTTATTGCTAAGCCAGGTGGATCGGCAAACGGTGCGACAGGGAATGTTGTAGAAGGCATATTTTGTTGAAAATGACCTTGTTCTGTAGATGGACACCAAATGGGGAAATGATAGCGGAAAACTGGCGCTAGTTAATTACGCTGGCAATGCTCGGAACCTGGTGCTCCTATTTAGAGTGAACTGGTTGCTTCAGTGCTTAAGCGTAATGCTCTTTGTTGCGTAATGCGCCACCCATTGTCCATGCAATTATTCATTCAGTCAACTGAAATGGGGGTGAAAAGTTTCCATTTGCTGAAAATTACGTGTACTTTCTTCTGCAGCCATTTGCAAATGTCAGATGTGTCACAGGACACAGTCGGTTTACTTTTTCATTCACTTTTGTTAATGTCTTTTATCGACGACCTAGGACCGTAGTAGCTATCGTTTGTCCTGCCTGTTCCATAAGCGTCGTTATGGGGGTCACAGGTGTCAATTAAGCTCTCACTGCACGGATCCATCACCCGTTAGCTGTTTGTGACCGTCCGGTGTCCCTGCCGCAGGTCGAGTCGCCGCAGCCAAAAGACGTTCGCGTTTGATCACTGTTTCGACTCGTCCGAGCCGGGCAGCGCCAGGTTCGCCAGCCAGGAAATCGTGTTCAGCTCGCTCGGAAAGGACATCCTCGACAACGCCTTTGAGGGCTACAACGCCTGCATCTTCGCATACGGACAGACCGGTGAGTAGAGCTAATTGGGAGGATTTAAAGAGTCTTAAAGTTTGTGATGTGTGGTTGAAGGTTGCCCTGATTGGAGGTAGGTGTGTGTGCGGTATTCGTCCGGTGACCTGGCGCCATGTACTATGTATGACGGAGTGACGTGTCAATTGTCATTACATTCCACATGTCGCCTGATATCGACCGGGTGACACACTCAAGACGGCGAGTATAATTCAGACGTCGTTTAACGGTATGAGTCACTGTAGCATACAGGCAAGCTATTGTCCTATGTGCTTCGGTCAGTGTGCCTTTACTGACGCGGCCCTCGGACGCTGCTGCCTGCCGACTGTTCGAGAACCAGCCCGGCCGCAGTTCTGCCTTTTATCGATTGCTTGTGTACCGGTTGTCGCGGGCTGACTGCCATCGGTGCCGTATCTACGTCACTTGCGATACCAACAGGTGTGGCCGCGAGCGGCACCGAAACTGCGTGGGCCTGGCCTACTCGGGCCACCCACTCACATACACACACGATAGTGCAGGCAGTTGTAGTAGATAAGGGCACGTTCCCTTTGATCCGTAAACTGGGTTATCTCGACTTAGTAAGACGACCGTCCCACCTCTCTGTCTCCCGAGTTGGAGCGAGATGCATTCATTTTGTTGGCTAGAAAACCATCGGAGCGGCTACGTTACTTCTTCAGCAGCTACACAAAGTGGCCTACTTTGTCGTCTGTTTGACCGACTTACCGCCTCTGCAAAAACGTACGGAGACGACCGGCGACCCGGTAAAGGAAATATAGAACTGACTGAACTGTGACACTGGAAATCCGTCGGCTCTTGGGATTGGCATCGTCTTACGGCAGATGCCGGCCTATAAAACCGTAGCGGGTGTGAGCTAGTACTCAAGCCAATCACGAGTGCACCTTGCTATGACTCTCACTAGTCACCACTCAGAATGGCAGTCACTGACAAGAAGTTAGTGAAGTGGCGCTGGGCTGTAGGATCATTTTCGGTACGCTTACGTATAAGAAATGATGACATTTTCGTCTCCGTGTCTTCACGAATTTTCACGTATGCGTGCTACGTGGCACCTTATTATCAAAGTTCGATGAACCAGTTAAACTCCTCCTCTCTGAAAATGAACTTCGTCCGGGGATCGGCCAATAACTGAGGCATCACTTCGGCTGGCTTCTCCCTGGGTGCTCGCTTAATATCTCGTCAAAAACGTGTCACGATATGCATCAAGTCACTCCGTGTGCGTGAATGCCTCACATACATCTACCGTATTTGAATAACCATTAACATGCCCATTTATCCCCATGTCGCTGTTAAGGATGGTGTTATTGTTTCCGAGCGTCCATTGGTTGTCTAGCTCCCTGGTCGATAATGCCGGTCGGGTCGGCCCTGTCTCTCTCCCAGCTACTGCAGGTCGGGGGCGGCATAAAAAGCTCGTGATCCGATCCGACGTCTGTGCTGCCGGGCTGGGACAGCGGTGTCGCGGCCGGGGTTTTTGTCGCCGGCGCTGTGGTCGGTCTGTCTGAGTCTGTCTGAGTCTGGCTGAGTTTGTCTGAGTCTGTGTCTGGATACGATGTGTATATTTATGCACATAGCTGGACTTCTTTCCGTCCTCCCGGCTGCAGCAGTATAAGGTAACCCTAGTAGAAGTGTGTGGGTGTGGTTATTGTGAGGCTACTACCGTCCACATAGGTGTCTGCCACTGCTGCCGGTGACGGTGGGCGGGGACTGCGCAGTGTCCGCCCGTGTGACGCTGTTTTTATGCAGGTGCTCCCGTACCGCGCCTGCAGCCAGGCACCTGTTGCAGATAACAAAAACACGCCTATGTCGGTGGTATCGGGCTCACTGATACGTCCCGTCTCTCGGCTGGTGGTATGCTGTCAGTACGGGTCGCTCGCTGACTAGCCACGTCATCGAACTATCGCTGCGCACTTCCTACGCTGCGTCATTACCCACACTTCACCGGTAATGCGTGAAATGACCGCAGACGACCCCCGGACCGGCCTTACACTCGGCTGCCGGCTCCATGTGGTGTATGTGCTTATCACGTGACCGTGCATTTGGGATGTCTATCAGGGGGCGGCCCAAAATAGCCAGGCGACAGGCTGGCAGTCGCCCGCTCACGTGTCCAGGGGCACCTGACCGCCGGCTATTTCCACAGCCGCACTCATTGGATGGCGAACGTCACATCAGCGCCAGATGACCGCGCTGGGACCAATACCTATCTTTGTGTCTGTGGCATCGGTGTATTTATTGACGGGGCGTTCCGTACTGCTGCCCATTTACTTTGCTGATGCCATCCGACTTTTGTCATCTCCGGTCTTATCAATTATCGCATGTCGGCGAAGTTTTTTTTTCTCTCTGTGTACGTGTGTTGGAGAGAGGCTGACCCCGACCGGGGCACGCGCTGCGGCGCCGACGGTTCGGACGTCTCTCCCCCAGTAATCAACGTCTGTCGTCTGCCCCCTGCCCCCCCCCCCCTAGTAATCGTGTCTGGACCTCGGATCGATGCCAGGCCACGCCGATCTCGACCACTGGGCTCCAGGTGCTCTCCGGGTGCGCCGGGGACCGCGGCCGGCTGGGGTAGCCCCGGCGTCTCCCTCCGCTCGTGACTGCCCGACTATGGCCGTGACCGCTATAAAGGGCGCATTGGGACAGCCCCACTTGGCCTCTTTGACCTCTGACGGGAGGGCGGCTCTGAATGGAGCTGCTTTGATGTCGTTGACTGATAACGATACGATTTTCGAGAAGTTGCCGTCATTACGGGTCTGAATGCCCTGTTTAGTGTCTCATTTCATTTAGTTGCACGCGCCTCGTTTTTGCTCGAATTGTAAGTGCGTTCATATTTGCGAATTTCTTCACATATACTTATAATGCATTGACATTGCATTGACATTGACATGCATGCATATTGCATGCATTATATGCATTCGCATCGACACATTGCGTTGATTCAGTTGTCCGATACAAACGACCTTTCAACTTGCTTATTGGCATGTCGTAATCGTATGTCGACTCATCACTTCACTTGATGCAGGTGGAACGGAACAACTGATAAGCATCTGATCGATTGTGAAAGCGATTATGATGCAGGTTTAAATACTGATTGACACCTCGCAAGTACCATTGAGTCATGGGATGTATGACGGTACGTGAAGGTGACATCACAAACCCAGTAGAATCTCGCTTCCTCCCGAGGGAGTTCTACCAGTGTGTGTGTGTGGGGGGGGGGGGGGGGCAAACTGGTATTAGTGTCATGCGGGGCAGCTGATGTAGATAGCGCAGGTGTAGTTACCTACCACCTACCTTGGTTGTTTTCTCTTTTGGCGGAAACACGGTCTCGACTTCCCCTCCTCGCTCGCCCAGGTGTCTGCGTCTGCCGATTCCTTCTTGCGTAGCTGAAAGACGCCCCGAGCGGAGGGGAAGGAGACTTGGGAAGGAACGGGGTGACGGTGGGGCGGTGGGTGGGTCTGTTAGGATCCTAGTTTTACTCTCGCTGATGCACGTTGGTGTGGAACTCGTTCGGCGTAGGAAGACTATGGTGGTGATGTTTGCCAGCGTTGCCTTTCTTTCACGGATTTGTTTTCTTGTTGGATTTTGCTGCTCACATATCGATTCACACATCACTCGCACTCAAGACTGAACAGTGAACATTCAACTCGACTAATGTGCCCCGCGCCCTTGCCGACGGCTCGCCGGCGGGCACCCGACTCCGTCTCCCGGCCGGCCCGGGCGCGGCGCCGCGGCGCGGCCGTCCCGGTTACCTGACCCGGCCGGCCAAAGGTCGGACCGGCTCCGTCCGCCGCTACCAGCCCGCGGCGGGCCCGGGGAGGGGTACTACACTACATTCTTCCATTGTCGTGGTAACATGCTTGGTGAGGGCAAACATTGGCATGATTTCTTTCCCATTAATATTAAAGTATTGCCTGATTATCTCGTCTAGCGCTGCCATCTGTCGAATGTTGTTCTCCCTAGTTGTTCTTCCTAGGGGTCGCCGCAGTCTGCCCCGCCGCAGTCTGCCCCGACACTAATGTTCCGTGATTGTCGCCGGCTCTAATACGGTCCCAGAACTCCCTCGGAAAAGTTCCATAGCCGGTCTTGCGGTCAGAGTGTATTGCTGTCCACACTGCTACTGCAGCCGGTATGGATTCTTCCTACTTCCTGTAGACGACAAACTTCGTGAAGAACTCTGGTTATAAGTGTCGCCACTCGCCACAACAGAGAGCCCTGCCGGACCTACCATCGTGGCTACATAGTTGTGTTGAGACAAGCTTCTGTGCGGAACAGTGGCTTGCACTTGGTCGTCAAATGCGGAAGACAAGCTTGCAGGCGCCCGCCCGTTACGTGTGGTGCGATTTCGGCAGCTTAGCTGCTTAGTGCTAAGAAGTATCGTTAAACTATGACGATCATGATATTCTTGAGAGACTGCATTCCACAAGATCACCCGTTGTTCTATCTACCTACTCTCCCCACATACGTGTACACCGCTCCCGTTGTTTTCCCATAGCGTCTGGTCGCCGGCCGGGTCGGTGGCCTCCGGTCCGCCGCCGCCGAGCAGCCCCGGCCCGTCGGACGGAGCGGACGCTGTCGGAATAACGACCTCGTCAGTCACGCGTCGGTCAATATGTGACGCGCCCTCCCCGCGGGGGCGTGCGGTCGCCGCTGATGACGTGCGGTGACGCCCGGTGACGCGTGCCTGCATGTCGTGACATCTGATCACGAACGGTGGCATGTGAGATCTGATGGGAGGCGGCCCCGGGGGCCGACGATGCACGGGTGACGTGCGGTGATCTCCGCTCTCACCCAAAAGTGTCGCGTGTCGCGGGACCCGTCGGCCCTGACCTACCCTCCGCTCTGCCCGCAGGCTCGGGGAAGTCGTACACGATGATGGGCGGCCACGACTCTCGCGGACTGATCCCCCGTCTGTGCGACACGCTGTTCGACCGCGTGGCCGACCGCTCCGACCCGGGCCTCACGCACAAGGTCGAGGTTAGCTACATGGAAATCTACAACGAAAAGGTACGTGGGCTACCGCTGCGCTGGCTCACTTCTAAAGAGGATGTAAGTCTTCAGTAATATGTCCGTCGGCCCTGGCAACTGTCACCTTTCGTTGTTGAATGTTGCCTGGATCTTGGCTGGTTGATTGTATTGTTCGAATTGTTCTACATTTTCAGTGATTGATTTCTGGTTTACCGTCATCATTTATGTCCCTGTCTTAATTGAACATCCATATATTATGAAGCTATCATCCACAAGCAATAACCATTTACTATGTTTGGTATCCGTTGTGTCTTCGGGCTGAATATGTGTGCTTATTCCATGGAAACGTGAATGTGACCGATGTCCCGTTTTGTCAGGTTCACGACCTGCTGGATCCCCGCGGCGGCAAGCAGTCGCTCAAAGTGCGCGAGCACAACCTGCTGGGTCCGTACGTGGACGGCCTGTCGGTGCTGGCCGTCTCCAGCGGTCAGGTCAGTGAAAATGACAGTCAATCCAACAGTCTGTTCTTGGCTTAGAGTCGATGGCAGTCCAGTCAGTGGTCTGTGCATGGACTGTGGACGTCTGTCTATCTGGTGCTCTGCGTGGGCGAGAGACTAATATCTGGTGCTCGCTGCCCCCAATGGGGTCATTTGTGGGTCCCTCATCATGAACTTCATTCCGCTGTTGGACTTTTAAAGTGGCATGAATCTGGTCAATGTGTGACAGGTCATGAGACTTGAGGTTGCACTACTGTGTGTCCTCTTCTAAGTCACATCGAGCGAGCTTATCATGGATGACCGACAATGGCTTCATCCCTGCTTTTATCTTGTTGCGTGTGTTTCATCTTACGTGACCATGCTCCTATCGTAATTTGAACCGCTTTCATCAAATAGATCTATTACTTTCATAGGCGGCGGAACGGGGGGGGGGGCACCGGGGCACCGTGCCCCCCCTTGAATTCTGCAAGGGGGGCACCAATACCAAGGTGCCCCCCCTTAAATTTGATGTATTAGTACCAGTGGCGGATTCGGGAAAACTCCAAGGGTAGGGTCATCAGAATCGAAGTGGTGCCCCTACCTATTCCCAAAATTAAAACCTCAACGGATTTCGGCCACTTAATTTTGGTGGTGCCCTATTTTCAGTTTTTTTTTATTTTCCTTATTTTTGGTTAGTCATGTGATGACTGGTGCCCCTGCTAGGCCGCTGGTGCTGGTGCCCCTGGAAAGACTGTGGTACCTACCTACCCTGCCCCCTGACAAGCCTACGGTGGGCCCTGACATGACTTAGGTGCCCATGGTCCCTGACCGGCCCGTGATGCCCCTGACAGGCCTGTGGTGTCCTTGCTAGGCCTGTGATGTCCCTGGGACTTGGCAGGTCTGTGGTGCCCCTGGCGAGCCTGTGGTGCCCCTGTTAGAACGCAGGTGCCCTTGACAGGTTTGTGGTGCCCCTGACAATCCTAAAGTGTCAACGACAGGCTTGTGGTGCCCTTGACAGGTCTATGGTGCCCTTGCGAGGCCGGTGGTTCCCCTGCGAAGCCAATAGTGCCCCTGGCAGGCCTCTGGTGCCCCTGGTAGGTCTGTGGAGCCCCTGGAAGACCTGTAGTGCTTTTGCTAGGCCGATGGTGCTCTTGACAGGCCTGTGGTGCCACTGACAGGCCCGTGATGCCCCTGCTAGGCCTGTGATACCCCTGGCGGGCCTGTGGTGCCCCTGCCGGCTGTCAGGCCTGTGGTGCTCCTGGCAGGCATGTGGTGACCCCAGGCCCTAAGTCATGACCCATGTGACCTCCCCCTGGGATTCGCCACTGATTAGTACTGCGATGGCTTCTTGGGAATTTGATACATGTAGGATAAATGGAATTTATCAAACGACAATAAGGAAGAGACAAGCACATAGGTACTTGAGGATCAGCTTAACCCTCGCCGGCACAGGCCATTTTGAGTCCTTCGACGGCACAAGGGGGGGGGGTTGGTACGACCCCCCCCTCGCGTTTGGCCCCTGATGGAGCTAGAGCTTCGCAGAAAAAAACGAGCGTGTTGCCCGTCACAAGAGGAAGCCAATGATACCCAATTTTAAGATCCTAGGTCATCGGTTGACCTTCCAGGTCAGGTCAATGACCCATAAATCGGGAATATCGGGACCTGTTAGAAAGTCGTAAAGTGTGGCTGCTAAGGAGTTTTCCGGGGTGCTGGTCACGAATATCGTGTTAGTTTTGATCATAGATGATGTCGTGAAGCGTTTAGACCAGGTCGGGTCAGGTCAGGTCAGGTTAACCGGTAGGGGTCGTGACGGGTATTCGTAGTACCTGTCATCCGCCTCTGACAGCTTCGTAACATGTTACGAAGGCACCAAAACTACTTCGTAAATGTTCCAATGGTTGCTAAACTCGAATTCAGCTCCAAAAACTAGCCTAGAAACATGTAAAACTCGAAAAAGTGAACCGAGGTTACCAAAGGTCAATGACCTGACCTGACCTTCTGGTGACCTTGACATCCACCCTAATGCATGGGAGCAACATCAAATCACATGTTTGAACGTTTGAAACCACGAAAAGCTTGCAAACGCGCGGCTAATGCGAACCGACATACGCCGAATCGCGATTCCGGCCAAACATGGTCTCAGAAAAGAGGTCACAGGTCAAAGGTCATTTGGATCAGGGGTGGTCACACTGGTCAGGGTCATGACATTTTCAGGGTAGGTGTAAAATTGATCAATGCGAGGGTACTGAAAGTTTCGTCGCGATCGGCCGCTTTTTACGCGAGTTATTCGCGAAAAACCTTAGGGGGGTGCATCAACCCCCCCTCCCCCTGTGCCGGCGAGGGTTAAGTTAACCACACATACGGGGGTGAACTGCCATTTTCGTTTTGTAAAAAAATAAAAATAAAAAAATCATCGTGTCAGGGCTGTGACGAAAAATAAGTGGCCTAAATCCGATGAGAAAACAGGATTTGGGGGTACCCTAGGTTTGGCTCTTGGAGCTGGTGCCCCCCCTTGTCTCAAATCGTTCCGCCGCCTATGATTACTTTAGCAATCGAATATAATGTTTACTGCTTTGAAACACCACATTAATCTAGCCTAAACACTTGGGATGACGCCGTGCCTTTATGAATTGAGTGTGATGATGAGAAGTCTGTGGTTGTACTTAAGCATGAAGTGTTGTTAAAGGTCAATGAACTGAAGTCATTGAACTCGGAAAGCTGCCAAGTAACATAGATATTTACGTTCTAATTAACCTTAGTTATCAAGTTATACACATTACACATATACTTCATGCTATGGCATCTATTACTCATGATTATGAACCCTTGTTGACAAACACGGGCAAAGTAAAGCTTAAGTCTAGCTTGAAAATTGAATGACACCAACATCTTTTTCTCGAGCTAGCCTCATCTTATTTCGTATTGATGCTGCATATGACTGCTAAAGCAAAAACATATGACACAAATAAGGAGCTAACATCGAGTTTCTTATTGGCGATAAATGTATTGTGTTCAGGTCAGGAACCTACCTGTTGAGAGCCTGGTAACAAAATTTCACTTCTTTTTACACAGCAAACGAGCATTCGTCCTCGCACTATGAAACACATAAGTTGTGCAAGACCAAGCAACAGCTAATGGGTGTTCAATGTTCATTAAACAATTGTGTTCCGACAAACGTTACCATTGGTTTGGAAAACTATCTTGCCAATGCGAGTCACCAATACACGTGTTCTGTCTCTGACGTCTGTCATGTCTGTGTCACGTCTGCCTGTTTGTACACCGGCAGGACATTGAGCGGCTGATTGTCGAGGGGAACAAGTCGCGGACCGTGGCGGCCACCAACATGAACTCAGAGTCGTCTCGCTCGCACGCCGTCTTCACCGTGATTGTTACGCAGGTGAGTCGGCCTTCGACGGCCGGATGGCGCCGGACGGGTGACGCTGAGCTGCCACTGTCGGCAGCTACTTTGAATTAACCGCTGCAAGAATTGCAGGAGACTTCGCCGCCGTCGGACCCATTCACCACCACAGTACTTATGTAATTGTATGTTTATTCTTAAAAGGACTATCCCACCTTCTAAAATGTTGTTAAAACCAGTTAAATTGTGCCCGACTTTATAGATTGGATGACCAGGAACACGGTTCTGGCATTTATTTTTCATTAAACATCTTAGGCTTCCCATATTCCAAACACAAACTTTCAAATATGTGACGTCACAGCCCAAAATTAACTCCTTCCCCAGGCCACATTACTGTCATAAAGCTGATTCTTTTTACTCTGTAGGCACCACAACGAAGTTCAGACTAGGTTTTAAGCGATTTTTCAACGAACAAACCCATTTAAATCAGAATGACTAAACGAGGTGACGTCACACTAACGGTAGCTCCATGTTGAAGATAGGGCCTTGTACAAGGCCCATTTTCAAATGAAGGGAACGAATTTCTTCAACACCAAGAGGCCGCGGGGGTTGCAACCTAGATAGATAGTGGTTTCTGAACCTCGCCGCAAACTTGGCTATCTCAACTCAAACCCCATGTTAAAGGTGGGATAGTCCCTTTAAGAATGCAGTGCAATCCATAACATCGTGCATAGACCTTTATACCCCGTCGAATGATCCCATCATTTTTAATGAATGCAGCGGTGAAGAAATGGATGTTGTAGGTAAACTGACTGGACTGCTCTAAGCCTTTATTTTTAGGGCCGTTGTAATCATGGCCAGATATTATGTGTCCAGTCCAGATACACAGAGGCCTATGCGTCATGGCAATAACTGCGCCAGGTCATTTAGTGATATAGGTATGCAGGTCATAAACATTAATCAGGAAATACGCTACTAAAGCTCTTACACATACGCTAATGAAACTTTTGGGGCACATCCCATGCTCGCAAACAAGGCACGCGCATAACGCGACTTATATCAGCGAGTGTGATGATTCAGACCCCCTTCCGCCGTCGGTGGTATTGACTGGTCAGTGGTCGTCTTCGGCGGCGGGCCATCCGTGTAAGCACTTATTTTATGAGATGTGAACTACATAGTACATGCTATCTAATCAAAAGTGACGTAAGTAAATGCATCAATTAATTGATATCTCAATGCTTTTTGCTTTTAAGCTTGTCGGCATGGTATCTGTCATCTGGTATGTGCTGGTCTTTCAATGGAGCTTAATGACTCACCTTTCACAAAGGACATTTCCAACTTGATGACTTGAATTACCCATCGACGTGTTACGTAATAATGCTATGCGGTACATTGCCGAACGGCCGACACAGAGGTGGAGATCTCGGGGGTCGGGGGGGGGGGGTCAGGATTACTGAAAACGAATTACTGCTATGTAAGTCAATGGTACTGCATCCAGTCCGCCTCCATCTGACCGGCCTGGACCCCCCTGACATTTTACGTGCATATAGTTGCATCATATTCACATTCAGATTCGCGTGCACATTCGCGGACCCCTTCGATTTGGCTGAAAATTGCACAGCAGATAGACCATGAGCTCCTAAGTGCAAAAATCATCTTTTTATTTACCGACATTAAGTATTTTCCAAGTTATTCACGTTTGTTTTACTAGTACAATATTCTGGTTAGTAAACTTCCCGGAAAAATCGGACCTCATCAAATTTCAAGAAAATTTCAGAAATGATTAAGACTCAGTAGTTCTTTACAAAAAACTAATTTGCATCAAACGCGGTCGCATAGTTTTCTCAGGAGAAGTCTCTAAAGTTCAAGGTCGTTCAAGGTCATGCAATTTTTCTCACTTTTTGGAGTCGTTTTACACGTGACAGCTTCGTATTTATGAAGGACATTAGCTATACATACTGCAATAACAATATACTTAAGCACCAGAGGCATTGTTAGACCAAAGGGCGAAAAACAGTCGATAAACCTATTGACCAAAGCCAAGAAGCAAATACAAGTGATATTCAGATTTCTCGTCCTAAAGTGAACTTGCCGGACCCCTCCGATTTCGTTCAAAGTCACAGGAATGATGCTCCTTGACCTCCTGAACACGAAAATAGTGCTCCTTTTGACCGACATTAAAACTTTTCCAGATATACGCATGCGTGCACATTCAAATTGCATATGTTGCATATGGCACGTTGGGCGGACCCCTTCGATTTCGTTCAAAATCACAGGAATGATGCTCCTTGACCTCCTGAACACGAAAACAGTGCTCCTTTTGACCGGCATCAAAGACTTTTCCAGATATACGCATGCGTGCACATAGTCGTTTTGAGTCTAGAAGCTTCTGGTGGGCAGTTCTAGAAGCTCGACGAAAATGCGGTTCTAATATGTTGTAGCCACGTCAATTTTGCATCGACTGACACTAGAAACTTGAAGATCAATTCAGTCGTTTTGAGTCTAGAAGCTTCTAAAGAGGCCAATGTTTGGCTATACACCCCGTAAGTGGTCTTTAGGCATACGAGTCAATGCAGAGGTCAACTTAACGGTCTCCCCTGCCTATACTAAGAAAGATACAGAAACCCGGTTACCACCATTCGATAGTCCTTGAATGTATCTACAACACATAGGAAATTCAAGGTCTTGACGTTTTTGGTCTGGCCGCCAGATGACACCAAAGTTGACATATATTTGCGCCACCTGGTGGGCAGTTGTAGAAGCTCGACGAAAATGCGGTTCTAGTATGTTGTAGCCATATCCATTCTGCATCGACTGACACTAGAAACTTGAAGATCGGTATAGTCGTATTGAATGTAGAAGCTTCTAAAGAGACCTATGTTTGTCTATGCACCCCTTAAGTGTTCTTTAGGCATGCGAGTCAATTCAGAGGTCAACTTAACGGTCTCTCCTGCCTAAACTAAGAAAGATACAGAAATCCGATTACCGCCATTCGATAGTCTTTGAATGTATCTATAACATATAGGAAATTCAAGGTCTTGACGTTTTTGGTCTGGCCGCCAGATGGCGCCAAATTTGACATATATTTGCGCCACCTGGTGGGCAGTTGTAGAAGTTCGACGAAAATGCGGTTCTAACATGTTGTAGCCACATCAATTCTGCATCGAATGACACTAGAAACTTGAAGATCAATTCAGTCGTTTTGAGTCTAGAAGCTTCTAAAGAGGCCATTGCTTGGCTATACACCCCGTAAGTGGTCTTTAGTCATACGAGTCAATGCAGAGGTCAACTTAACGGTCTCTCCTGCCTAAACTAAGAAAGATACAGAAACCCGGTTACCACCATTCAATAGTCCTTGAATGTATCTACAATACATTGGAAATACAAGGTCTTGACGCTTTTGGTCTGGCCGCCAGATGACACCAAAGTTGACATATATTTGCGCCACCTGGTGGGCAGTTGTAGAAACTCGACGAAAATGCGGTTCTAGTATGTTGTAGCCACATCCATTCTGCATCGACTGACACTAGAAACTTGAAGATCGGTGTAGTCGTATTGAATGTAGAAGCTTCTAAAGAGACCTATGTTTGTCTATGCACCCCTTAAGTGTTCTTTAGGCATGCGAGTCAATTCAGAGGTCAACTTAACGGTCTCTCCTGCCTAAACTGAGAAAGATACAGAAATCCGATTACCGCCATTCGATAGTCCTTGAATGTATCTATAACATATGGGAAATTCAAGGTCTTGACGTTTTTGGTCTGGCCGCCAGATGGCGCTAAATTTGACATATATTTGCGCCACCTGGTGGGCAGTTGTAGAAATTCGACAAAAATGCGGTTCTAACATGTTGTAGCCACGTCAATTCTGCATCGACTGACACTAGAAACTTGAAGATCAATTCAGTCGTTTTGAGTCTAGAAGCTTCTAAAGAGACCATTGTTTGGCTATACACCCCGTAAGTGGTCTTTAGGCATACGAGTCAATGCAGAGGTCAATTTAACGGTCTCTCCTGCCTAAACTAAGAAAGATACAGAAACCCGGTTACCAGCATTCGATAGTCCTTGAATGTATCTACTACACATAGGAAATTCAAGGTCTTGACGTTTTTGGTCTGGCCGCCAGATGGCGCCAAATTTGACATATATTTGCGCCACCTGGTGGGCAGTTGTAGAAGTTCGACGAAAATGCGGTTCTAACATGTTGTAGCCACATCAATTCTGCATCGAATGACACTAGAAACTTGAAGATCAATTCAGTCGTTTTGAGTCTAAAAGCTTCTAAAGAGACCGATGTTTAGCTATACACCCCCCCGCGCCCGGCTGGGGGTCCTGGATTTCCACGCCCTGCTGGGGGGGGGGGGTGTTTGAACACCCCCCCTTGTAACTCGGCTCCTGGGCCACGTAGCGATACGCGGAAGGCGGCGTTCGAAAGAGCGTCAAAAATAATGACGAAATCACTTCGGTCATTTTTTGGTCAGGTCAAAGGTCAGGTCACCAGAGGTCATTGAAGGCAAAATTTCGCCGATTTCCAGGTCGAATGTCGAAAATTTCCAAGAAGCCAACGCATAACTCGGGAACCAATAGAGCTACAGCGCCGCGGAAAAGCGCATTCGATAGCCCTATTAACGCCCTTTCTGAGTAATTCTCTCAGATTTGACCTAACGTCAACGGTTTTGCCTGCAGGGGGCAAAAACTGCAATAATAGCCGATTTTTTCGGAAACAGTTTTTCTGCAATAACTTCTGACCCAAGCCCTGTACGAGCTTACTTTTACCGGCATCGTGTTCCTCTCGTCAAGACGCATCGAATGAACTATAACTTGACCTTGAAAGGTGAACTTGAAAATTTGACCTCAGGTCAAGGTCATGACCTGACCGGAAAGGGTCATGCTGCATATCAGTCGATCCGTATCGTCGAGCTGAACACATCTAAGGCGTTTTCATCGCTCTAGCATGCCTCTATCAAAAGTTATTTGCGAAAACTGTTAGATACCATTTGTGACCTAAGATGACCTCAGGGCATAAACAAGGGTCACGGACAC